ATCTAAATACCATATTCTAGTTTATTCTTCAGACTGGTCTCACAATAAGTGAAATAAAGACTATTTTACTAAATCTTTTAACTTGAGTATTTAATTCTTAGGCATTTTATTCTTTACATCTCAAATAAAAAATAACATAAATATGTTGCCTGGAAGTTAGTAGGGAATCAAAATAAATATAAAATATATTATAAACCTGTATTTATAAAACTGGATCTCCTTTGAGTACATGGAAATAAAATACAGAAAAAAAAATTACAGTCAGACTGACTTGTTTTACTTTTTTTTTCCCCCATCAAGACATCTGAGCTGCTTTGATGAGCTCTTACATCTCAGCGTGAAAAACAGCTGATCCCAGACTGTTCTCTACATCCAGTCTGTTCCTCTGCTTGGTTTGGATGAGTTAAAGGTGAAGTTGGACTCCGAGAAATCAGTATTTTCGGTTGATAAATGCTTGTTTAATTTTTCAACTGGGTCCAATTTTCTTTTACTCCCTAAGAAATAAAATATTTTCATGTCCCTATTGCAATGCACTCGCGGAACACTAGGGGTACGAGTACCCCCTGTTGGGAATCACTGAGCTAGATGGCAAAAAGAATCAAGAATATCCAGACTCTAATTCCAGCATCTTTTAGGATCAGTTGTGGTATTTGGGGCCAATTAACCTGATTGAGAAGTTTTATCTGAAGCTTCCACAACTAATGAAGCCCAAAGCTGAAAACTGAGGTTTGCGCTACAGGCAGGGGCAGATTTAGGAAATTTGGGGGTCTAGGCAAAGAATGGCAGGGGGGCCTCTGAACTGGAAAGACAACAAAAAAAGAGACCCGTTATAAGGATATAAGAATTTTAATAGACATACATTATTTTTTCTATGTTTTGTTCCTCTCTTCTTGTTGTTTTCCTCTCTATGTTTTGTACTCCGCTGACTTTTCATGCTGTCTCAAGCACTAAGCACACTTAGCTGGTTGCTCCTTCCTGTTTCCAAAAAGGAAATGGCAAAAGTCAATATGAGTCCTTATTATCACTGTAGACAAGCCATGATCTGCTTATCTGTTCTCCATTTTTCTGAAATAATAGCTGCATGAATTATGACAGCAGACAATATAGACAAGAGCAGGAGGCGGGGTTACCAATCTATTTGCTCTGGAGAGCAGAGTTTGCTGTCTCAAGTAGTAGAAAAAAAGTAGCTAGATTTGGCGCTAGCGATGTTTTAATTGGACTACATAAAAATAAAACCTCTAGAGGGGTCTGAAAANCACTGCTCTTCGCATGGTTTGTTTTCAAATGTCTGTTTGGACCTTTCTGAACATATGCAGCAAATGGACTGATCCAATATGGTGGACACTGAAGGCGGGGCTGAGACACAATATTATAAGCGTTCTGATGGCATTTTAGCAAAAGGATGTTTATCAAAAACATAATTACTGTGCACAAATAAGAAATAGTTGTATTCATCATACATCTAAACAGAGTTTTATGGGGCCCCCAAGGAACTTGGGCCCTAGGCAACTGCCTAGTATTGCCTAATGGTAAATCCCCCCCTCGCTACAGAACTATCTTAGAATTATCTTCTTTTGGCTTATATCAGCTCTATTTTAAATCATTTAACCCTTTACAGGTTCAGAGCATGCAAAACAAATCACAGATCATTTATTTCTCTTTCAATTGCAATGAAATTCATTTCTTTTTTAGTTTTTACCTGGTTAAAAATTAACCAACCACACAATACTTAAATGGAAAAAAAAGGGAAATATAAAAAGGCTGATTCTTAGATTGTATCACCATGTTGTCCATAGCCTTGTTTGATTTCCGTAAAAGCAGGATTTGCCAATCATTGTAGATTTAAAATCTAACTCTTCCAGCTGTTTCCGATCAAAAAGAAAAACTGAAAATTACCTTTAGATTTCTTTGTATGGATGTTCAGGTTATGAAGCAATCTTTAATAAATAGGCTTGTCAAAGTTAATTGTAATATAAAAGTAATACAATGTCTGTTGTTCTGTTTCCAATTAAACTCAAAACTGATCAAATGGGATAAAAAAAAAAGAAAAAAGTCTGTTGTGCCTTGAATTTCCCATTTTGAGGTTTTTACTCTGCTGTGATGTTTTGAAACAAAAACCTAAAAAAAAAAAGTATTTCTTTTGGAAACCTAATTTAAGCCATACTTGAACTGTGATGGTGGGCCACCTAAAACTCCTTCAAGGACCGCAAAATGCTTAAAATCCATAACATTTGTTTGCCTCTGTGACCTACGGAAGAGGAATTTAATTCAGAATTCTGAGATTAAATTCAGAATTCTGAGAAAGAAATTCAAAATTCTGAGATTAAAGTCAGGATTCTGAGATTAAAGTCAGGATTCTGATAAAAGGCATTCAGAATTCTTAGAAAAAAATTCAGAATTCTGAGAAAAAATTCAGATTGCTGAGATTAAGGTCAAAATTAAAATATTAAGGTCAAAATTATAATATTAAAGTCAGAATTCTGACATTTTTCACATGTTAAACTGAAATATTTAAAAATAAGTTAACTTTATTTTTTCAGTGGCCGTAATTCTCTTCCGCAGGAACCGGATGTTTTACTGTGACCCTTTCTTTTCTGGTTGTATTTAACATAATAAAACAAGGCTCAAATATTTCCCGTAAATCAATAAATACCCCGGAGTTTTAGCCTCTTTGTAAACATGTCCGCCATCTTTGTAACCGCTCGTGTCTTCATTCTGTCGACCCAATCTCCTTCTAGATACATTCTCTGTCCCAACTAGTCGAACTGTGTTTGTCTCCATCTGAACAGATGCGACCATTAAACAGTAAACCCACCTTGCTTCTCCAAACTTGCTTCGTTTTTTCTCCTTCGTGTGAAACATCGAGAACATCAACCGCCGTCGATAAAATAATCTTTATAATGGCTTTCACTTGGGAGAGAAAAACAGAGCTTTCACCCATTTTTAATTCTTTATTTTATTATGATAACCTGGCAGTTAAACATGAAGCTAGTCCAGGACCCTACTACCGGAAATGGAATTAAATCCGGAAAATCTTTTCAAAATAAAAGTTTCCATTTCATCTATTTATCGGCAAAAATCTGTACATTTGGAAGAAATATACTTGCTGTCATGTCACAGAGAACTCTATGTTACAAATCATTTAAAGCTTTCATTTTTCTTTTACAAAAATAATAGTTTTGAAACCAATGTTTTGTTTTTCGTAATGAATTAGGAAAATAAATTACACTTAAACTCCAGCTCACTGTAAAATTCTTAAAAGTTGAAAGAACAGCTCTGAATCCATGATGAGAACTGCAACAATAAATGGGTAAGATTAATGTTTAAAAAGTTTCCTCAAACACAGTTTCAAATGCCACTTCATGCTGCCTCTGGCTAGATGTATTTGGATGGTTTGTGATTTATCACTTAAATATTAACTGTGATGACATGCCTTTGCAGAGTAGCAGTTATGTTAAAAAAAAAAACAACAAACATCCCTTTGGTGCTATGAAACTACTGCTCAAATCATCAAGTTTATTAAAATAGAGATCTGTTCAAGCTCAATCCCACATGAGAACCCAGTTTGACGCTACAGAACGTCACAGCTGTGCTTCTTGAGCTGCCTTGAATCGGAGAAGCCCCGCCCACACTGCTGACACGAGTAGAGCTTCTGGCCAGTGTGAACCTGCAGGTGGGATTTGAGCTGATTGGACTGGTGAAACTTCTTCTGACAGTAGCTGCATTCGAACGGTTTCACCCCCGTGTGGATCCTCATGTGCCTGTAGAAGTTTCCATCCGTCCTGAACTCTTTGCCGCACTGGTCGCACTTGTAGGGTTTCTCGCCCGTGTGAATCCGCTCGTGCTGCTTCAGGCTGGCGCTGTGGAAGAAGCTCTTTCCGCAAACGTCGCAGATGAAGGGCTTGTCCCCCGAGTGGCTGCGCTGGTGGTAGCTGAAGGAGTATTTGTTGTGAAAGGCCTTCCCACAGATGCTGCAGTTAAACTCCTTGTGCTCGCTGTGGCCTTTTTCGTGGAGCTTGAGTGAGCACGCCGCGCTGAAGCCCTTCAGGCACGTTTTGCAGCTGAACGGTTTGACCAGCGACTTGGGCCGTCTGTTCTGGAAAACGCTGTCCGATCCGTGGGAGTTGTCGGCGTGGACGTACCTCTGATGCATCTGCAGCCTGCAGTTGAAGAGGAAGGTCTTCCCGCAGAGGTCGCACATGAAGGGCTTCCTGGCGCCGTGGATGAGCATGTGGGACTTGAGCTTGTTGTTGTCCGAGAAGCTTTTTCCGCAGTCCTTGCAGGTGAACGGCTTCTCGCCTGTGTGGATGCGCAGATGCCTCTTCAGGTTGTTATTGAGGTTGAACCTCGCTCCACAAATGTGGCAGGTGAAAGGTTTCTCCCCCGTGTGAATCACCTTGTGTCTTTTCAAAGCCGTGCCCGTTCTGTAGGACCTGTTGCAGACGTCGCAGACGAACGGACTGTCTCCGGTGTGCTTCCTCTTGTGTACGGTCAGTGAGTGGGCGTACTTAAAGGACTCCTCACACATGGTGCATTTGTATTTTTTGGAGGTAGTGTGGACCATCTGGTGGAAGCGGAGGGTGTCTTTGCTCTTGAACTCTTTTCCGCACGTCGCGCAGCTGAACGGCCGTTCCTCTGAGTGCACGGCCATGTGGGACCTCAGCTGGACCGCCGTCTTGCAGGTTTTCTCACACAAGTGACACTTGAACTGCTGCTTCCACTTCTCGTGGCGAAGGAGGTGGTTTTCCAGAGACTGCTGAGCTTTGAACGATTTGTTGCACTGATCGCAAGGGAAAGGCTTCGGCGTCTTTGACGTCTGGTGGCATTGGAGGTGGTTCTGAAGCGACTCCTCTTTCTTGTACGACCTCTTGCAATGAGGACAGGGGAACGGCAGCGTGGCCTTCGTGGACTCGTGACTCAGAAGGTGACTCTCGAGAGCCTCGCTCTCTGTGAAACTTTTGCTGCACTGCTCACAAGGAAAAGGCTTTTTATGGAACTTCATGTGTTTCTTCAGGTCTCCTTTCCAGTGGAAACCAGTGTCACAATGCTCGCAGAAGAAGCGCTTTCCTGCCTGTGAGGCCGTTCTCCTCAGGCTTCTCCCCTGCATTCCGTCTGGCTGGAACCGTGTCTCCTCATTTGTGTTGTTAGATGAAACTAAAAGAGAAGATGAAGCCAATTAGTAGCCCACCCAACATCTAATTAAAAGCTAACAGCCATACCTTCTTCAGTTTTATCAGCCGTCCTCGAAGCACACTTTGTACCTCCAGACGGTTCCTCCTCAGGTGATTTCTGAGGCATCTGTAAAGGGAACAGATTTAAAAGAATTTAGTCCAAATAAAACAGATTTTTTTTTCTCTTTACAAACTGCATGAACCCATGAAAGGTCTTCATTCTATTGAATATGAAAATCATAGATAAGGAAGTTACTACATCATTAATCACAGTTATTTAAAAAATATTTTCAAAAACTTGAAAAAAAATAAAATAAATGAAAAGCAGAAGTTAATGCACAAAGTATAGAGCCAGTATTCAGGTTTCCCTCAGCATAAATCTGTTGCTTCAATCATTTAAAATAATAATTCCATTCATTGCTGCAATAATAATCAGTCTCCTATAACTTTAATTATGTTACCTTTAATATTATCTTCTTTATCATTAATAACACATCATCATCATGTTTTAGTATTCATATTATTACTCATTTCCTTAGTTTTAACAAAAGCATCATTTTTTTTACTTATTGCAAGTTTAAAAGTTTAAAGTCCTGATATGACATGTATCCAGATTTTTTTTGTTTTTTGTTTTAAACAGAAAAGGTTAGTCTAAAATAAAATTGACTACAACCTTAAACCAGTTTATTAATTTACAGGTATGATATTTCAATGCATTAAACTTCGAGGCCTACAGGTTTTATGACAATAAGCTAACTATATATCTATAAACCAAACAAGTGTTTATATTCTATCTCGACAATCATGACTTGAAGGTTTAGAGGACGATCTTTTATTTTCCTGGTGGATCATCTAAATAATTGGTTCCCCTACAGTCTGGTGATATGTTTACATAAGGCCGTTCTACGTGTTTGTCCTGTTAGCCATCTTTTTCTGCACATCCGCACCATCATCAAGTACCCATGACTCTCATATATACACGCCAAAATCCTTCGTCATCTTTACCGTTGACAGACTGCAGCCGTGTTCTGAATTCCTTGATTTCCAGCCATTTTTTTGTTGAAATTAGTTTACAATTCTCTAGCCTTTTTCTTCGCATCAAGCTTCTTTTCCGAACATAAGGCATTACGATCAACCAGAAGCAGTTCTGCGCAAATATATTGCAAGAAATCTGACGAAATAGTTTTTCTAATTTTTATTTTATTTTATATAAAGCATTTTAAATGTCACAATAATCACATTTAATTAATTTCAATGCCAATTCAGGCCTTAATTAAAAAAATAATAATTTAATGACTTTTAATGATTTTTAATGACCCACGGAACCCTGGTAAGAGTAAAAGTGTCAACGAAGTGTAAGACAAGAAAAGAAAGGCCTCAGAAGAGGCAGTTATATCCCGGACTGCTTTGTACAGAGAGCTCTCCTTGCAAAGCATTATGGGATTTGCTGTCACAGCGGCCCACTGTCGCCATAGGCTGTCGCTACCCGACAGCGGTGATTAATAACAGATGCCGCAGGTGGAGGAGGAGTTACATAACCAACAAGCAGTGATCATCTGTCCAAACGGTCAGTTAACTGAGTTTGCTATAAAGTCCGCTATACCGTCCCCACCCTATATAGTGATTGAGGGATTTAGGGGTTAGGGTGGACGTTCAGACACAATAAACCCAATTGTTGCACGAAGCTGCAGCTCAGGATGTCTGTGCAGCACAACGCTCAGATGATGCGATCTACCTGCTCACACTCTACGTCTAAAAACCACGTCGGACTCCACAGTGAGATGGTGCTACTCTGACTCGTCTATCTGGAAAACAAACAAGTAGAAGAGGATTATGAAGCTCACTAGAGTGAAACGCGTTGCCTTGGCAATTGGTGCAATTTTGTTCTGAAAGCCCTAAAAAGAAAAGGCAGCAACGTGTTTGGACAAAGGCATGGCTGAGCAAACGTGGCTACTACGGTCTGTCAATTTTATAGTAAGAACTCCCATTTAACTCGCACACCCGCTTTTATGTTTTCTTCTGAGACGACGAAGAAAAATCCTTGCGCATGCCTACTGAGCGATTTGCCCACGATAGTCGACCGAAAATCAAACATGTTTTATTTTCTCCCGACATCACGTCTCTTGATCGGGAGTTGGTCGTGAGAGGCTGATCGCCCCTCATTACCGTCTGTACACTACATGACGCACGATCAAGATGAAAGTCAGCATGATCGAAAAATTCTCTCACGAATGGAAAGTTGCCCCGAAAAGAGAAAAAAATAAATAAATAACAATAATAATTGCACAGTGTAAGCCCAGCTTAAGCTTATATGAATTACGAGAAGAGCAACTTTAAACAGAGCGTACACGAGGAGAAATGGGCATCAGCATGCTCTCCCATGCGTTTAATAGGCATCCGCTGAGGAGTGTGTACAGGGTTGTGCATGTGCATTTTTTTTAAGGTAGAGAGGGCGGGTCTTTTAAACAATTAAAAAAAAACCCGCCCCAAATCCCTTTAAGCACCTCATCCTCAACACAACAGAGCAACACTTTTTTTCTACTTTAAATACTTTTGACATGTTCCACAAACATGCAAAGTATTTCTATTATAAAAAAAAAAAAAAAAATCTAAAAAAAATTTTTTTTGTATTCAGTATATAAAGGAGCCACTTAATTACCGTAATATAACTTGGAGTTGTAGTCTGTAAATGATCTTCCATTACATTTGATGACTGGATATTTAAATCTACTGTTTGTAATGAAATCAGAAATTCTTTTCATTAACGTTTTCACACAGGCCTTATTTTTGGAAGCAGTTTCTGTTCAACTGTAAAAACTCCACCTTTTCTGCTGCAGAGTCCAGAACACCGAGGTTACTGGAGGCGGGACTGGCAGCGTCTTCCGGCATGAACTCAGGAGGAGTTCCAGGTCTCAGCTCCAATACTTCTGTTTCTGTTACCACTGATGTAGACATTAAGGTCTGGGTGACCACTTCATTGGCCCCCACCAGCAGGACGGTGGCAGCGGAGGGAAGCGAGCCGACAAACACCATCCGAGCTGCTGCTGCAGGGGTGGAGATGGTCACTGACTGATCCGGGGAAGAGGGGATGACCTCTGAGCCTTCAGAGGTCAGGGGGAAGTTTTTCTCATCTGATTCTGGGGCTGCAGATCCGCCTGAGACTAAAGATTGGAGGGAAACAGGTTAAGGGAAAAAAAAGAGCTCACAATTTGATGTAAAAACTTTGAATCATGGGATCCAAGACATGTTAAGACGTGCTTCAATGTTTTAGCCCGGGATTAACCACGAAAGGACTCTGCATTCTGATCGGAATAACACTGGGAATAGTTTAGGACTTAATTGCACCAAATGAGATACCAGAGGGGTATCTACAAAAAAATAAAAAAAAGAATAAAAGTGAACCAATAAAACAGAGACAGTAGGCAGAGAGAGAGGAAGGGAAGATCAGCAGCCAGGCGAGAAAAGCGACTGTTTGATAAAGATCATATCAGGGGCTAAATCTGAGTCACCGGAGTCCAACTACTGATTAAATCAGCAGAACAGACAGGAAATGCATAAATAACTAGGCTACATGACATTCTTTAAAAAATTCTGTTCTTCTGCTTCTCTTGAAACGATTTTCTTTTTAATCCATAGAATTAACCTTTTTTGAAAAACATTATTTGAAAAAAAAAATATCTAAATGATTGAACACAACCCTAAATAAACAGGCTGTATTAGAAAGGGTTATATTAGGAACATCAACCAGGAGACGCATAAAGAAGTAGATCTATAATAGAATGATCCAATGCAAGTGGATTCAAGGAAAGGAAATGACTGAAAAGGAATAAAATTCAATGTGCTTCGTTAAACGGCTCCATGTTCTTTAGTTTCAAGCATTTTTGTTTCTGGTCAGAAAAATTGGACTAAAAACCCCCAAAACTCCTTATTTTGAAACACCAAGATCTAACTGTGTCGATGATGACAAGATGTTTATGTTTCTTTGGTCAATGACTATCTGTTTAGTCATGGCTCTTCCTTATATGAAGCCACTAACTGAGCTACTTGCTTGCACTAACTCCATGTAATCAGGTCTTCTCTCACATTCTACCATTAGCTGGTATTTTTCCATAAATGTTTTTCTTTTAAACTTCACTAGCTGCCCACCTCCATGCAATGTTTATCTAGGATTTCCAGCAACATTCTGGCTTTCAACAAATAAGCTAGAGATATTGATAAGGGCTCCCTGCCACCTGCAAGCGGAAATCCATTGTTAAAGCGGATAATTTTGCCCAACAAGAAAATCAGTGTATTGATTTGACACGTCATTAGTTATAACGGAAGAAGATTAGGGCCACTGGAAAAAAAAAAATTACTTTTTTTTTTAACTTATTTCAGTATAATATGAGGAAAAAAGTCAGAATTCTGACTTTTAATCTCAGAATTCCGAGTTTATTTCTCAGATTTCTGAGTTTATTTCTTAGATTTCTAGCTCTAATACAGAATTCTGCTAATAAACACTCTTCCATCCACCGGGGACCCCTCAGACATGTAAAAATTCTGAGATCAAAGGCAGAATTCTGAGATATTAAATATTTAACTTAAATATTAAACCTTATTAAACTGAAATAATATTTAAAAATCAGTTAACTTTTTTTTTTTTAAATCCTCTTCCGTAAGTTATAGCTCACTTTAATTCCATAAAAAGGAGATACACTGGAATAACAGATCTGGTTTGTTTGCAGCAAATATGCAGGAATCCAGGAGGAAAGGCCTTTATTAATGCAGTCAAACTGAACTTTAAGTAGGGCTTTCAATAACTAAATTTCCTACATAACAGTAAATCAGTTATGTGTTGTCATTTTCATCCATAGTTGTTAAATGACTGAATGCAATCACCTGGTCTTCCCTAAAACATTATTTCCCCATAAATAACTGATATTGTGAATCAGCATAGGAACCATTGATAGGAGTCTACTGACAGGCGGATCACTCACCTGTTGTTGTCTCGTCCTCCAGATGTCCAGGCCCTTCTTGTTGGCTCTTATTGGGGGCCTCGCTGATAGTTTTCAGCTCCTTCTCCAGCAGCTCCATGTCTCTGCCCAGCTGACCCACTCTGGCCTCCAGCTCCTGCTCCAGCCGCCCGGCTTTCCTCTGCAGCACATCCTCCAGCTGCTCTACTTTGGCCCGCAGAGCCTCGTTTTCCTCCCACAGCTCCGAAAACACTTTCTGGATCTGAGCAACCAGGAATCTCTCTATCTCCTGGATTTCACCCAACTTCCCTTCTTCCAGGTCTGAGTTTCGCGCCTCTTCGGCCCACACGTCGCTGAAAACGGACACGGCCGCTCGGAGAGCGGCTTCCACCGCAGACGCCAATTCTTTCCCGAAGCGCGCCTCCATTTCCTCAAAAATATTAATTCAGATCTCTGGATGTTGGGTTGGAGAGATATTCAAGCTACATGACAAACCTTGAATCGGATTCCAGCGAACTTAAAATATAACTAAACATGTTTTCAGCTTTACCATTAACCGTTGGATCTTCTAAATGACAAACAGTGCAACTGTGAAACACCTCCGCACTACACTTCCGCTTCCGCTTCTTCTTCGTTGGTAATTAACGACACCTGCCATTATTGTGCTGTACTGCCACCTGTCGTATACATTTATCTCTGCAATTTGACTTCAATTTCAGTTCTACTGGCGCAGTGGTTCCCAACCTTTTTTTTTTGAAGAACTTACTATAACAAATAATTAAATAAAAACTATTTAATTTAATCTTTGTAACTTGAGCATTTAATTCTTTGGCATGTTATTGTTTCCAACTCAAAAAAACAAAAACAAAACATGAATATGCTGGAATGCAAGGAATAAAAATAAATACAAAATAAAAACACACTATACACACTACTAATCTGCCTTTATAAAATTGAAGCTCCTCTTAGTAACTGCTCTATATTAACATTAAAACTCGAGAAATTACTGAAAATTGTTATATATATATATATATATATATATTTTTTTTTTTTTTTTTTTTTTTTTTTTTTTTTTACTTTGTTTTCCTCATTAATGACACCTGTGTGCCTTGATCAGTTGGTGGGAAAAACCCCGATCGCAGGCTGTTCTCTACATCCAGTCTGTTCCTCTGCTTGGTTTTGATGTGTTTTAAAGCTGAAGTTGATCTCAAACATATAAGAAAAACTTACTGCTTGTTTAATATTTTTTTTAAGTTGTGTAAAAGTTGAACAGACCCCAGTCCTGAAATAAAAATTTTTCATGTACCCCTTGCAATGTACTCACATACCACTAGGGGTACAAGTACCCCCTGTTGGGAATGACCATACTAGGGATCCATGAAATATCTTTGCAAAATAAGTAAAAGGATTTTGTCATTTGTCTTTTTGATTGCGCCAAATCAGCTGTACTTTAAACTTTAAATTGATACTCTCTGTGGTTAAATCATTCTTTTGATAAAAAAAACAACAACAACAACAAAAAAACATCTTAAATTAATGCACATTGTATAAAGTTTGGGAGCATTTCCAGCAGGATTTATTGCAAAACATGAGGTCGCACACGTTTTTTATAAGTCAGCCATCTTCTTTGATATACTTTGAGCTGCGACCAATCTAAAGATGACCTAAAGTGATTAGATAAGTTTATCAGGAAGCCAAGCTGTATTTTTGATGATGCTTGGACACAGTGCATGTAGTTTGAGACAGAACAACTCTGGAAAAAATGGCATCACTGTTAGGCAATCATTCCCACCAATTGGCTTAAGTTTTGCAGAACTTGAGAGGTCATGAGAAAAAAAAAGGATTATAACTACAATCCATGAGTAACCAAAATGTATTTTATTTGTGATTATATCTGGGGCTGACAGGCCGATGTGAACAGGACGGTTAAGACACACGCAGACAGGCAGAGCTCATCCAAACCATGTTTCAATTTCAGATCCATTCCTAACATCTGTGCCATGATGCTTAAAAGTAGATCTACAAATAATATCGTTGAGTGATTGTTTCACATGTGGTCACGGTGTCATCTGTGAACTTTACCCTGCAGTTCCCGTGTCTGATCATTGCAGTAGTTGCAATCTGTCAGCAGGTCACTACCGAGTCAGTTTCTTCTGCACAGTTCTGCTCATTCTAAATCTTCATCCTTTGCATATGACTGTGGCTGTCGTGTCCTGCATGCAAGTTAATGTCCACATTGATCTGATGTTCAGGCTTGATGCAGATGCATGGAAAAAAAATCGGTTCTCAACATTTGATCTGGGATAATTAGAAATAAAGTAGAAAGTTTAGAGGAACATATTAAAGTCATTAAGTGAAAATCTAGAAATATAAAGAGTCAACCATATTCTTTAGTGAAATAAAATGATAAACCAGAAAAGTGGATTTCTTGGCTTTGCATACTTATGAAAAAGCAATATGTAAAATGTATAAAATGGTTATCAAAAGTCCAACTGAAAATGAAAGTAAATTCAAAATAATAAAATTATAGAAAACCGTTCTTGAAACAGGAGGATTTGGGTTCCTTATGATGCCAACATGAACAGAAAACATATGATCATTTTGGTGGGACAACAACAGCCTGAAATGTCTGTGAAGCTGCAGGAATGATCTGCAGGACCCTTTCACACCAGAATCAAGTCCAGTGGATTGTTTTTAACTTTTACGTAATGACTATGACCTGGGTGACTGAGAATCTTCATCAGCACCAGAACCAAACCTCACTGCATAAAAAAAAAATCAGACAGAACAGTCTCAGAAAAGCCTTTTGAAGGACTTCTGGGGTACTTCAGGAACATCAAATCGGTCCACCCAGCCCAATTTTTTGTAAGGTTTTAGCTGGGTCCAATCATTGCTTCAGCTGGAGCTGAAGGGTTCTTTCCAGTCCACAAAAAACGCCATTCATGATTTCCAGAAACTAAAACATGAACAGTTCAGGCCGCTTGCACTGGGCTTCCTCAGGAAAAAAGCTAAGGAGAAGTGCACACACCTCCAGATTGCTCATATAGGTTTGTTAAAAGTCAAGAAATTATTATTAATTAAGCAATTAATAATGGAACACACTGGAATATAAAAAAGTAATTAATGTTCCTGTATTACTGATTTACAGTGAGGAAAATAAGTATTTGAACACCCTGCTATTTTGCAAGATCGCCCATTTAGAAATCTTCGAGGGGTCTGAAATTGCAATCGTAGGTGCATGTCCACTCTGAGATACATAATCTAAAAATCAAGAACACCTATCCACCCCATACAATCAGGAATAATCCAACTACAAACATGGTCAAGACCAAAGAATTGTCTAAAGACACTAGAGACAAAATTGTACACCTCCACAAGGCTGGAAAGGGCTACAGGGAAATTGCTAAGCAGCTTGGTGAAACAAGTTCCACTGTTGAAGCAATCATTTGAAAATGGAAGAAGCTAAACATGACTGTCAGTCTCCCTCGGACTGGAACTCCATGCAAGATCTCACCTGGTGGGGTCTCAGTGGTCCTGAGAAAGGTGAGAAATCAGGTAAGAACTACATGGGAGGAGCTGGTCAATGACCTGAAAAGAGCTGGAAACATAGTTTCCAGGGTTACTGTTGGTAATACACTAAGCCATCATGGTTTGAAATCATGCATGGCATGGAAGGTTCCCCTGCTTAAACTGTCAAATATCAAGGCCCATCTTAAGTTTGTTAATATGACCATTTAGATGATCCAGAGGGAGAACGTCATGTACTCAGATGAGACCATAATTCCACTGACTGTGTTGGAGGAAGAAAAATGATGAGTACCACCCCAAGAACACCATCCCTGTGAAGCAGGGGGGTGGTAGCATCATGCTTTGGGGTGTTTTTCTGCACATGGGACAGGGGTACTGCACTGTACTCAGGAGAATATGACCGGGGCCATGTATTGCAAGATTTTGGGGAACAATCTCCTTCCCTCAGAGCATTAAAGATGGGTCGAAGCTGGTTCTTCCAACATGAGAATGACCCGAAACACACAGGCAGTATAACCAAGGTCTGGCTCTGGAAGAAGTATATCTACGTTCTGGCGTGGCCTAGCCAGTCTCCAGACCTAAACCCAACAGAGAATCTTTAGAGGGAGTCTAAAATCCAGGTTTCTCCGCGACAACGCAGAAACCTGACTGATCTAGAGAAGATCTGTGTGGAGGAGTGGGCCAAAATCCCTCCTGCAGTGTGTGCAAACCTGGTGAAAAACTACATAAGAGGTTTCTTATGTAATTCCAATAAAGGCTACTGCACCAAATATTAACACTAATTTTCTCAGGTGTTCAAATACTTAACAAACCATATATTTGGATGATGTTGTTATGTCTCTCACAGTGGACATGTACCTACGATGACAATTTCAGCCCCCTCCATGATTTCAAAGTAGGAGAACTTGTAAAATAGCAGGGTGTTCAAATACTTATTTTCCTCACTGTACCGCTAAGGGGCAACGTTAATAAAAACAGAAATATACCAAATCATAAAACCTGTTTTTCTATACCTAAGCAGAGTTTACCCTGAGTTAAGACTTTCTGTAGAGGAGCGAGGGTAAAACAGAAAGAATCAAAACATGATTAAAAGTTTACACTCCGTATTTTCCCCTGCACTTGCCTTTGTTTAGCCAACTACCTCTGGGGTGTTTATCTAAGAACCAGAAAGCAGCATTACTCATTTATATGTTGTGTTCAACAAAGTGCAGGATAAAGATTTTTTTGCAGACGGACAAAAAATTCACCTCCTCCAGTTACATATGTCATTTGTTGGAAAATGAAGTTTTTATATGCATCAGATTTGTGTCTGTATTTGAGATTTTCTACCAAATTGGAATAACTTTCTACATTTTCTCAAGCTAAAGATATTTTACTCACCATTCTGCTCTTGCGTTCGAAATAAGCTGTGCTTGCTTCTCTTCCCTTGTTTCAACACTTGGATTAAATGCCTCCAGAACAGAGCACGGTTACATCTGGGATGCACTCTTTTGTAAAACAAGCAAACTCCAAAGTTATACCCTGTGATGCTATTTACTGCAACTGTTAGTAGAAAAGGCCAGAGGACAGATCCGATCATGCAGGCCTAACCTGTTCTAATGGAAATAGAAGGATTAAAATGAGAGGAGAAAATATTTGTTAAAGAGGTATTACATCTGAGGAAGAGAAGAGTCGGTCTGTGAGCAAGCAGATGTTTTTTTCAGGGTAAAAGCGCAATGCAAGCGGTACAGCATTAAAGATGGAAAATAAGGAATTCTTTTAAGTTTAAAATGCATGCTCTAAAGTTCTGATAATAATAATCTTTGCAAAATATGTTGGAGGTCTAGGAAACCAGAGTGATTCAATTAAGGTGTGAAGGGGACCACATCAATGTTTACATTTCTCTGCAGGATCTTCATGAACTGGCTCATCTAGAGCAAAGAAACGGCAAATAAATACAAGGCTGTTGTAGACCTGATACAATATGATACAATGCAAGATTTATGAGTACTTGATAAGAAAGCGGAATGATAATTTACTAATGATATTTTTACCAATAAAAAAAACCCAGCTGGTTTTCAA